TCGTTCCTTCTACATCCAGCCCTCTTCATCCGGATGCCCCCACCAACCTGACCCATCCTCGTCGCAGTCGTCGTCACAGCCGGGTACGTGCCCGTCGCTCTTTTCTTTATGTTTTCCGCAAATGTCGCCATTTCATGTATGTTTTGAGCGATAGAAGGAGTGCCGTCCCATTGCTATACCTATATGGCGTTTCGATACCAGGGCGAGGTGGGGTGCGCGCAGCGAGGAAGCGTTGTTCCAGGTGGCAACGTTCAACGACATACCATACTCCAGTCTCTGTGGCATAGCACGCGATTCCGGCCGTTTCGATTCCAGGTTGTACGTACGTCCCACTCCCTAGATAGATAGGCAATGCCTAGTGCGCGTGCGCGCATGCTACGAGCAGCGACTCGCGAGTGCGCATACCGCTGGGGCAAAAAGGCAAATTATTTTTAACGAAGTGTCCGTCCAGATCGGATGCACCTGCGTCGCCGTCCATTCTTTCAGGCCTCGACCGCGGTGGCTTCTTTCCGTCCTTGTGCAGAGAGTACACGTCACAGGCCGACGATACGTGTACCAAAGCTTATAATGGGTATAACTATGTGTCACAGTGACGCAACTGGCATCGTACTGCTCAACCAGATTATGAACGACGTAATATCGTGAACCGTTGCGTTCACCCGGGTGATCCCCCAGGGCATGAATTTCGCGCAACAAGTTGCCTGGCCGGAGCACTTGGGCGCTGCTGGTATGCTGGTATAGATACTGCAGGGAGAGGTACAAAAGCGACACTCGGGTCTTCGTGTCACGCTTATTTTCCAAGTATAAAGGGAGTTAAGGAAAGTGAGTGAGAGAGAGAGGGGTGCTTACTTCAGGTAGTCTCTTGGAGGTTTGCTTTGTACCGCCCTTGGCACTTTTAGCCCCATTGACCCCTTTCACCCTGGTGACCCGAGACTCCCACCGTCGAGGCTTCCCTTCGCTCTCTTTAAACCATTTACTCACGCATCGGCAGCGACCGCCCGCCATAATATTGTCGCCTGGTTCGGGCATTATTCGCGTTCGAGAGGATAAGCCCAAATCCAAAATTTTGTTTGGCGTCCGGCCCGGGATGATCCCTCTGGTGTGGCGACACGGCCAATAGTGTCATCGGTAAGGACATGGCGGGATGAATAAACGAAATACAGCGGAACCATAACCATAAGGAAATGAAAGCCCCGAATATCGTTTGTACGTTATTAGTAACTGCTTCTCGTAAATGGCACTCGAAATGCAGAAAAACCGAACGAGTCCAAAGAGCGAGATGTCTCTGTGGACGCATCCGAGCGAGTCCTCGGCTCCTCTACTTATCCGCGGTAATTTACGAGAGTCGAGGGAGAGAATCTCTTCGAGTGGAATCCGTTCACCGATCTTTGCCCACGAGAAGCAATGCGTAAGTTGAGCGGCCAAAGAGAGGAGGAGAAGAGGAAGAAGCAGAGAAGGATCGCAGGGAGGAAGGAAAAGAGAATGAGAAATCTTTGAAGGAATTTCGATAGGTAGAGAAGCAGCAGTCGGGACCAGAGGGACATAGGACCAGCAGCAAGGAGTTCGCATTGTCTTCTGGTGAACGCAACCCCCAACGAGTGGACACCGGCAGGGATATTTCGAACACGATAAATCACAATTAATTAGCGGAGCGTAATGACGTGGCATGTCGTTTCAATTGGTAGCGGGCTCTCGGTCCTGTGTTCGCCCATGCAGGAGCGACCTCGCCTGTGTGTCGCGTATATTTGCGCATCCGTTTGCGTATACATTCGGAAAACGAGACCACCACCCCCTCCGCCTCACCCCTGCCTCACCCTAATTCAATCGAACCCACCCCCGTGGCCAGGATGAATATTAATCCGTGGTTTTACATACTGGTGCGTCACCTGTCCCAAAGACGAACTCTCCGCCAACTACGAGAGATCATCGATCCGTGACTGCACGATTGGAGAATCGCACGATTTTCAGGTGGAAACGGAGAGGGGAGTAGAGGGGCAGGCCGAAGGAAGGTGCATCGGCGATGCAGCGGGGCTCGATGGGAGTGAAAGAGGAATGCACGCGCGCCGCAGCATTTGGTGCATATTGCAGTGCTGTTTGAACGCCTGGAACAATATTGGGCTGAATCGCAAATAACCGCGCGGAGCGTTATTTGGCGATGCAGCCGCCGGCTCGCTCTTTTGCTCACTGACTCGCTCGCTCTTTAAACTGGCAGTGCGCGTAGACTACCCGCGTGCCATACGGACGTTGCACCTTTGAACACGCACGTTTCACCTATGTTTCACACTCGCCCCCCGCCCCCTCCTCCCCTCCCCTCCCCTCTTTTCCCAGAACGATCCTCTCTCGTACGCGATCCTCATCGTTTATCGACGCTATCCATGGAAGATGGGCATGGGTTGTTTTGGGTTTGGATGTGGGTCTGAACGGGAGTAGTGAGGGAATGGTGGCCTCGCGGTGGCAACCGGCAGCCAACAGAGGTGTTAATACAGAGGTCGATCTCCACACTCGCCTCCTACCAGTTTCATGCAATATGCGCATGTTTAACTGACCAAAGCTCTGTATCGCCGCCTCGTGCCGCGTTATGTACTACCTCTCTCTCTCTCTCGCTCTTACTCTTTCACTGTTTATCTATCTATCCCACTCTCTTTGCTCTCTCGTACTCTCCACACTGTCCACACTGTCGAAAAGGGTGGCTGCGCGACTACACACCACTGCTCGAACTCACTTTATTTATACACTGCACTGTCGATGCAGGCGTACCAAC